AGCATTTTTATATGTGATAAAAATGAATAAATGATCAATAAATTAATTAGTAAAATATGATAAAATTAAGCATATCCGCTATGCTTATTTTTATAACTTTTTTTTTGTTAAAAAGATATTAGCAAATGTATTTTTTTATTTTTGAAATAGTATTTTTAATAGATTTTTTGATACAAATATATATAAATATTAATTTTTTATTTTAAACTTTTTTTATTAAAATATTATATTAAAATAGTATACTTAATTATCATATTCTAAAAATATAATATATTTAGATTTTTCAGAATTCTTAGATATTATCTTTATTTTTAACTAGAGATTTAAAAAATAAAATTAATTAAGTGATTTATTATTTTAATGAAAAATACTTAACAGTTAAGATAATATAATTATAGAAAATAATAAGAGATTTTTTATAATTTTTAAATATACTTTAATTGAATAATAAGAAATTTCATAAATATTAATTTTAAAATTTATTAAAAAAATAGGTGAAAAAATTATTATATTTTGTATCTTTATATTTTCTTAATAATAACTAAAAAGTAATAATTACTTTTATTCTTTAGATTGTAAAAATTTGCAAATAAATTTGACTGTTTATTTATTATCCCTTAAATGTAAGTATAAAATTATTTATAAAATATTTAGAAAACTTAAAATATTTTAACATCTAATAATTATAAAAAGATAAAATAAAGTTTATTAGATTATTATATTACAATATATTTAATAATAATATTTTTAAATTTTTAAAATTAATAATTATTAATATATATCAATTTTTTTAATTTTTAATTTTAAAAATAAATATATTATTTAAAATAAAATTCAGTTTATTGGATTTATCTTATTTAGATCTATTAAAGAATAGTATTTTTTATATTTTTAAGATTAATAAATAATAAAATATATGAATTTAAAATTTTAATTTTTTTAATAATAATTTATCATTTATTTATCTTTAAAAAATTACTAATTAATTACATTTTTTTTAACTTTTACTTAGAAATATTATAAAATTTATTATAAAAGTTTAAATTTTTTTAATAATATATTTTAAAATATTTAAAATAATTAAAAATAATTTTAATTTATAAATAAAATTATTTATAAATTTATAAATAAAATAATTAAAGTGATAATAGTTTTCTAATTTACTTTTATGAAAAATTAAAATTTTTTAAATTAATTTTATAAATATATATTATATTATAATATTTTTTATTTTTTAATTAAATAATAAAAAATGTTAAATTACTTATAAGTTAAAAATTTGTAATTTTAAAAAATTTTATCATTATTCTTTAATAATCTTATTAATATTTATTTTTAAAAATATTAATAAAATATTATAAAATTTATCATAAAAAAAAATTTTAAGTATTATAATTTTTTATAATAAAGTGATTTAATTAGTTTATAAATAAATGAATTTTAAATAATTATTATAATAAATTTTTTAAAACTTAAACCTAAAATTAAATTATTTAAAAAATGGCAAATTTGCTTGCGAATATAAAAAAATATTAAATTTTTAATAAAATATAAAATATTAACTAAAAGATTTTTCAATTTTAAAATTAAGATTTAAAATATTTATTATAATAATTTTTTAAAAATTTTATTAAAATTCATATATTTTCAAACTAATTGAATTAATAAAAGTTATAAATTTTTTTAAAATTGTAATAATTAAAGTTATTCTTCATGAATGTAATAATAGTCTATTATAATTAACATTACTAAAAGCAAATATTAATAAGATTGTCAAAAATCAATAATAAAATTTTTTAATTTAAAAATTTTTAAAATTACAAATTTTTAGCTTATAAATAACTTTAAATTATTTATTATATAATTAAAAATAAAGTTATTATAATATTATATATATTTATAAAAATTAATTTAAAAAAATTTTTTTATAAATTATTAATTTTATAAAAATAAATTAGAAGTGAATTTATAATAAATAAGTAAGCAAATTTTCTTGTAAAATTCTACAGTTTGAAGGATATTTCTAAATTAATATTAAAAATGAATACTTTTTTAAGTTTACAGATAAATTTGCCTGATAGATAATTTATAAGTTAAAAATTTAAATATTTTTAATATCTTGTATTAAGAAAAATACTTTAAGATAAAAATAGGTAAAATGCTTTATAATATTATAAATTCTTATAAAATAAAATATATTAACGTAATTATTATACAAAAAAAAGTTATATTTACAAGTTTTTATATTTAATACTAGAAATAGAAAAAAGCTCTTAAGATAAAAATTTTGAACTACATAAAATAATATATTCTTAATTCATTATAAAATAACTAGAGAGAATAAAATCACAATTTTGATTAAACTATAATAAATAGATATAGTTATAAAAAATATACTCATTATATATATAATTTTTATATTTTTATAAATTATTTTTTATTAGTAGAAAACCTAAAAATGATAAGTGATTATTTTTTATTTTAGCATTTATAAAAAATCATACACTTATTTTTATATAAATATAAAACACAGTTACAAAAATTAAGCAAATTTGCTAAATACATAATAAAGAAAATATTATATTATAATTTACATTATTTTGTATTAAAAAATAACTTAAATCTACTAAAACAAATCTATTTTATTAATCTTAAAACTACATCAGACTTATGATAGATAATAGTTATATGTAAATTAGCTAAATTTACTAAAATATTTGCATTATATTAGAGAGTCTTTCAACTTAATATCTATTTTAGTAGGGATGGATCAGTTCTGATAAGATCAGTTTTAGACTGGTTAATAAGACCGATCCTTGCAGTTCTTAGTTCATATTTTAAGAACTAGTTTAAACTGATTTTTTATTATTTATACATATTATTTTAAATTTTATAAATACTAAATAGATTGTTTTATTTATAAAATATTAAAAATTAGAGTTAGATCGATCCAGTTTAATCTCTCTTATAAAACAATCTAATCTATAAATCAATCCTTGGATCTGTCATAATAGTTTACTGTAACGATAATGTCTAAAATAAAAATATTAGAATAATTAGATTAAGAAAACGTAAGAGTCATTTTATATGCAATTATTTTATTATACTTTTTATTTAATTTATACAATTATTTTATTAAATTGATCATTTATATTTTCTAGTATGTTCTAAACTGATCCTTGAATCAGTCTTATAAATCGATCAGGTTCGAAAAAAACAAATCTTGAATTAAACCAGACTGATAGGACTGGAATGATACAAGACCGGTTCTAGAACTGACTTATGGACCAGTCCAGTCTAAAAAAAATGAAAGACTGGTTTTTTTGGACTGGACTAGATCAGATCAGACTGATCCAACTCTATATTTTAGCTTTAATAATTCTAATTATAGTTAACTATTCATTATAGAAAGAACTTATAACTTAATCATCTTGAATAAATATAAAAACAAATGACAGAAAATTTTAAATAAATGTTATTATTGATGATAATAAGAAAAAAGACTATAAAATATAGCTGATCATGATTAAACACAAGTGAATAAAGGTTATCAAATAATTATTAATCATCTAATAGCCTTTATTCAGAAATGTATACATCAGGTAAGTATTAAGTAAATTTAGAATAAATATTAAAAGAACATCAAGTATTCTAATATAACTTAATGTATCTATAATTTTTTAATAAATCAGACATTATTATTATATAGGAAGCCTGATATTCAATTAATTTTTTATAAATAAATAGTATATACATATAGTTAAATATATGTTTAACTTTTCATCTAATTCACTATTATTATTTAGTGTAAAACTATAATTAAAGTGAAAAATCATTTGTTACTTTATAGAAGGTGATTAAGAGTGAATCTGTTAAAATGAATTATATAATTTTATATGGATTTGAGTTAAGAACTTTTTGCAATTCAGAACTTGTAAATGAAATGTAGAATAGAAACAAGATCAGCTCATTACAATTATTGACAATAGGGCTCTAAATTATAATAGAGAAATTAATTCAATACATTTTCATAAGCAATTGCAACAGATATTTTTGGAATACTTGCAATAGTTCGAATATATTGTTCCACATCAATTTTGATTTTTTCTGCCTAACACTTGCTATTAATTGTCTCTGATACTCTTTAAATTTTCTTGACACATTAACCATACCTACTTCCCACTCAAATATAAAAATAATATAAATAATATTCAAAATCATAGCTTAAATACAGTAAACAGAATTGAAAGTTTTATATAACTCATTTAATGAACTTAATGTTATTTGCTGTTCTAACTCTTCTAAATTATAGTTGCCTGACAAAACTCGTTTTGACTTTTGACGGGATTTTATTATGGTTTCGAGTTTCTACGGGTTTGCCAATAAGGTTTTATTACAGTTTTGCCAATGATCCCGTCGAAACCGAGAGTTTTGCCAGGCAACTATATTCTAAATCATATTTAATCTCTATTGTTTCATTGGAATCACTATCACTGGGAATATGATTTTCCTGATGACATTGTTATAACGATTGAAAAAATTTAACAAGATTATACAAGGTTAACTCGACATAAATCCTTAATAAAGACAATTACACTTGATTCGCCCATCTCGTCACTTGAACATTTTCGAGATGTCTCATAATCGGGAGTTCAGCATTTGTTAAATTCAACTAGATCACAACGTATATGATGTCAGTACAGAAATTCAACTTAGTTTACGAAGCATAAATGTACGATAAAAGCAATACCTCAATATCTTCAATTGCAGATTCATCATCATATGGGAGGTAAGCTATTAAAATCACGTTACGGATCATATGATTTACTATGTTCATAACTCGATTTTAATAGTAAACCTCCCATATGTTGACGTTTGTCCTTGACTATCATTAATGATCCTTGCTTATTAATTTATTTCGTTTACGAGCATTCTTGAGCGATGAGAATAAGAGATTAAGAAGAGTGTAAGGAAAGCAGTGAATGCGTATGCTGACTTTCTTACCTCTTAATATTTTCTGGACGCGCAGTTTCCGGTTCATCTTCGGCATTACGTCTCATATTGTACATTAGAACTTCATCATTGTTTGTCATTTCTTCAACCCACTTGCTAGTTTCAACATCAACAACTGTAGCAACATTTTTTTTGGTATTCAGTGATGATTGTTTCCTTGTGAAAGAAAAAAAACTGATGAGCTTTTTGTAGTCGAAAAAAGTAAACTTCCAAAATTATACATCACATTCACAAACTGATCGCGACGGACTTGTTTAAGAGTTTGTTTTTTCCATGACTCCAAAAGCAAAAAAAAGAGTTATTAGTAAATCAGCTTTGAGAATGGCCCGAAAGGCGATTGAATGCGAGTTGTGTGGTTAAGGTCTTGAGTGGCCTACAGCCCTCAAGACTACAAACTCATGACCTACAGTCTCCAAGTTTACCACATACAAGTAACCTGCAGTTCCCGTAGTGAAAATGACCTACAGTCCTTCTTACCCACCTTCCCCTCGCAAGCAAAAGCCACAGATCTACAAAAACCGCAGACTACTTACACTCCAATTGTCTCTAATATTTCTAATATTTCTTAAAGCGTTCGATGTAGTCTTATTAAGTACACTGCATTAAGACTTCTTCCAAATCTTTTGCTAGCGCGTCATATATTTCTTTAAAGTTGTCGTTCAGAAATTCTTTTTGATAGTAAGCGAGTATGTCAACCACTGATATAGACTTCAGGTTGAACAAGGAATCGGAAAAGTGTTCTATTGAAGAACGGCATGGCATTATTTTCCCAAATTTAGAATAGCGTAACAGATCAAAAAAGGTAAAAATTATATTGGATCGAATCACGTGGGGTTATCGTTAAAAATCCTCGATCGTTAAATTTGAGTCGGACACAAAATTAGGCAATTAAAATTAACACAAATTTTTTTAAAAATTTACTTCGTTTACTTCTTTATTATTATTAACTATTTAAAAAAACCCAAAATTTTACTAGCATCCATTTTATATACCAGAAACTTTTTGAACAAAAGCTAAATAGAAAAATAATTTGGTTAGTTAAAATAAAATTGGTTAATATTTTATTTATACCTATAATTTCCTTTGCTAATTCTTTATCAATATCTTTGTTTCTTTCAATTCCCTCAGCTTGATCAAGTGGAATATCATCTTCACTTAAGGTTATTATTGAATCAAATTCATTTCAATATCATTATTCATTTGTAAATGTTCATTAAAAGAATGTGTTAATTCATCAATAGAACTATTAATTACACAGCCTTTGAAGATTTACAACTTCTTGTCAACTTTAACCAAGTTCCAATAGAATCTTCAATTAGAAAATTCTGAAAACATATGAATGCTGCTAAACAATTCTCAACCTTTATGGATCTTAACCAAAATTTCACATTAACTCAACATACTCTTTCTTCTGACATTCATTAGCCTATTTCTTTTTCTGCCTTCACTTCAAATATAAGTGATAATTCTGCCACCACCTCTTTTACTTAATGATAAAGAAAGAGTTTTAAATTAAAATTATTGATTAAAGAATTACCCACTTTTAATCGACTCTCAGTTAGGCATCCTGATCTATACAAAAATTGGTTATGTATTTTCTGCAAACAATATAATGAAGACTATAATCATTTGTGGAATTGTCCAAATAGAATATAAAATGTTATTGATATTCGTACAGTATATCAACATGTGAATTTCTTCATAAGATCATCATTGATAAAATTGGTCGAAATGATTATTGATTTAACTCTTATCTTACTATGAAAGAGAATCTAATGGAATACTTGGACCCTTCACTCCATCTCACCACTTGCATTTATTTAGCCAAAGGAATAATCTCTAATAATATGTTAACATTGTTAAAGGAACTGTTCTTCCTTTCTAACGTCAGAAACATTCTTGTAGATACCTCAAACTTTTTTACCACTGCATTTCATAATAATATCTGGGTCTCCAGATATAACAAAATGATTGAAGAAGAAAGAAAATTAGGAATTTCTAAAAGGTTGAAAAAGAAAAAAGTTAAGATAAAATGTTCAATTCTTACAAAAATCCCTAAACAAATATCATTAAGATGGTCAGATTGGATGTTATCAACAATCAAATTTGGTTTCTCTTGGACAGATTTCTTAGATGGTACTGACAGTTTCATTTGAATATCTTATTGAGAAGTTAATCATTAGATATGGATTTTTTGGTTTTTTCTGAGGGATGTTCTAGTGATTGGTCAATCCAAACGGGTTTATAACAGAATCACGAGGGATAGTCTTAGTTTAATTTTTTATTGTTTTACTTTTAAATTAGTTTTTTATTTCTATTTTTATTTGCAATAATTTAATATAAATATAATAAACTTAAGACAGTACCACATTGTTAAAAAATAAAAAAAAAAAAAAAATGACAAAACTGATGATGAACGAATTTGAAACTCTTTCTCTTTCATTAGATTTTATCCAAAAATTTTTATGTAAAAAACATGTTCATTCAAGAGTGACTACAGCTTAGCCTGTGAACAAAAACAATAACTCCCCTTTTCAAAAATATTTCTCTTTTTATTCCCCATACCCTCAACTAAAAATATTTTGTTATTAGTCTAAACAGTAGTGTTTTTTTGTTAAAATATTTTTTTTGCTACTTCTCTTAAATATTTTCTTATTTGTTTTCCTTTTTCTTTTTTGCTTACAAAAAGTGGACATCAAGGGGTATCTGAAATGACAATCAGAATTAATATATCTTTGAGTGTAAACAAATCTCATATAATGACTATCCAATTATCTTCATAACAATAACATTCTTTTGAAGATTTTCTGATGTTACAGAGTCTGCTGATCCTAACAGAATTTTCAGTTCTTGCAACTATATGTTTTGGGTTCTGTACTTTTGCCAGTAGCTGTAATCTGAATTGATAGATATATTAACATAAAAGTTTAAGATATCCAAAGAGCCTTCGATAGAACTTAGTGTTTTGGGTACTCCTATTGTGAAAGGTCGCTATAATTTGGAATCAACCAGGCATTTTAGCTAGGAATTTATTAGAGTTGGTTTATCTTTTTTAACCTTTCTTTTTTAGAAACTAATCTTGGGTTTGTGTATTCTGAAGGGTATAAAATTTTTAGTTGTTAAAAGATTAGTGATTAGTTAAAAGAATAGTATTGTAATATTGACAATTTCATTTACTTTTCTCGTTGATGAGTTGTTCATTAAAAATGGTTTTAGTGGACTTCTTAAAGGGGAAAGTCAGTGATTAATCAGCTTAAATAAGCTTGAAACAGAGTCACAAGAGTAGCTGTGGTTTAGTCTAGATTTTTTTATTTATCTTATTTGTATTTTTTGCTTTGTTTTACATAGATTAGTGTATTTAATATTATGAATCTAATAAATAAACTCATGACAGTATTACATCGTTAAAATTCAAAAAAAAAAAAAAAAAAAAAAATGATGAAACCAATGATAACGTCATTAACAAATTTAAATATGTTTATATAGTTAATATAGTTTACTTAGTTAAACTTATTAATTAAGTTAATAATATTTACAAGATTTCTGTAGTTTATTAAGTTGTACTTTATCTTAATTTAGTAATAGAATTATATTCAAAGTTTTGTATAAATAGGATAGGAATTTCATGTATTTTCATCAGTCAGTTAATTCTCAGTTAGTTAGTCAGTTATAAGTCATTCAATCATAAATCAGTTTTAGTTAGTAAGTTAGTTTTAAGTGAATTACAAGTCAGATAATTACTCAGTTAATAAAGTCAAGCTAGATAGTCTTGAGAATAATTATTAGATAGTTTTCTAATACAGTTTTGATATACTTTAGTTTATTGTTTATTCTTTAATTTTATAAGTTCGAACAAGTGCTTATTTAAATTATTAAATAGTATTGATCCCAATTTCTCTAATTAATAAACCAACCTTTTATCTTATAAATTTAATTAATTAAACTTGTAATATAAAACCCAATCCATCATTATTGCTTTCTCATATAATATATATATTGATTGTAGTAATTTACATTGATAATTCTATTGATGCTAATAAGACTTTAGAATTATTAACATAAATTATTATCCTTCAGATACCTAAAATGTTGCTATATATGTTGAAGTTTATTTTTTAGTTAGTAGACTTCGCAATTGACTTGTATAACAGTATCTTAGGAATAATAATACCATCATTCCTTAGGTATAATAAAACTATTGTCCTTAAGAAATGATAAAACAATCATTCTTTAAGAATGATAAATGTATCATTCTTAAGGAATGATACTATCATTTTTTAAAAATGATAAAACTATTGTATCTTAGGAATGATAAAATCATCATATCTAAGATACAATAAATACATTATTTCTTAAAAATGATAAAATTATTATACCTTAGAAATGATAAAATCATTGTATTAAAGTATAATAAAACTATTGTACCTTAGGAATAATAAAATTATCATACCTAAAGTATAATAAAATTATTATTTCTAAGGAATGATAAAACTATCATTTCTTAAGAATGATAAAATAATTATTTTTAAAGAACGATAAAATTATCATTCCTTAAGAATGATAAAACAATCATCCCTAAAGAATAATAAAATTATCATATTTTAAAAATGATAATACCATTATTTCTTAGATATAATAAAACTATTATCCTTAAAGAATAATAATATTATTATATCTAAAAAATGATAATATCTATTGTATCTAAGGAATAATATAATTGTTCCAATTAGACGTTAATTAGCTATAAATAAGATAGGTTAAATTTTAACTAATTCTTGGCTGATTTCTGATATATGCTAATCAACTAAGCTGATTTTTGATAATTTATCAAATTTAAGCTGATTTTAAGTTGATTTTCACACGTCTGATTTTTTTGATTTTAACCAGTGATATATATTATTACTTTTGTATTATTAAAGCTTAAAATTAATTTAACTAAATAATTTAATTCTAGTGAATAAATTAATTTAACTTAAATTTTAATGTAATTTATTATAATAATTACTAGTTTTATCCAATTTATAGCTTATATAATATAAACAAATTATGCAATATTCTTATATATAAGCATTCTTATATATAAGATTAAGATTTATTAAATAATTATCATTTGAATACGTAAATATTTTTATACTAAATAATTTAGTATTAGTATTTTTTTATTTATATTATCAACAGAATAATTGATCAATTATAATGAAGTTACATGAATGACACAGTATAACGATCTCTTAATTCAAAATTCTAAAAATATTGAAAATTCTGTAAATTCTGAAAATATTGAGGATTTATGTAATTTTGAAGATTTTTCCAATACTGATGATAATTCAAATTTTATGAATTAAATAAAGTCTAAGAATATTTAGTGTTATACTTATTTTTAATATTCTAAATTTTATTATTATTTTTATTATATTTTATATTTTACGTATTTTTATTATTTCTCAATATATTTATTTTACTTATATTTTATTTTACTAAATTAGTTAGTTTATAGCATAGCAATTAGTTAGCTATGATAAAAGAAATTTTGTATAAATAGATAAACTTTTTGCTTATGTTATAAATTAACTCTTTGCGATTTGTAAACTTTTTTGTAAATACGAGTTTCAATATTAATAAAGAAATCATTTAAAACTTATATCTTTCTGCCTTTTTGTGTCTTCATATAGTCTAATGTGATCCCTATATATTATTTGTAATTAAGTTCATCATCTGAATTCTTTAATTAAATTGTACATAATCTTATCTTTAAAATCTTC